AGTACTAACTAATAACTAACGAAGTAAGAACTACCGTACCGTACCTTTACGTTAAAAACGTAAAAACGTAAACGAACGTTACGTTACGTACTCTTAACGTAACTACTCTCTCTCTCTCTCTCTCTCTCTCTCTCTCTCTCTCTCTCTCACACACACACACACACACACACACACACACACACATACGCGCACACACACACACAGACATGCATGAAGAGTGAGACCATGGCAGAGAAAAAAGTGAGTAAATTACCCACAAATTGCATGACCAACTTCATGGTATGCCACCAGGCTCTTGCTTTTCCCGTCAGTCATAACAGTTCCTTCCATTCCAGCCACTATCCTATCAATCGAATCGTCAATCTCTTTGGAGGAAATTGCAGTCTTCCCACGACGACCAGCCAAAATTGCAGCTTCGTTCAAGAGGTTTGCAAGATCGGCCCCACTAAAACCAGGTGTTCTCATGGCTATCACATCCAATGAAACATCACCATCAAACTTCTTGTTGCTAGCATGCACTTTCAATATCTCAGTTCTTCCTCTCACATCAGGAACATCCACAGTCACCTGCAACAAGAAGGTATATGAATTGTAGTGCATGTACACCAGAGTAATTCCAAGTATTGATAATTTACCAGAACTATTCTATAAAGACCAAGAAGAACACGAGGAGAAAGTATTTAAAAAAAAAAGAAAGAAACTAGAACACCATGCTTCAAAACATGGAATATGGATCTACCATAACTTGAAAGAATGTATGGTTTATGCACATGCATATACATGTTTCAATTGTATCTATCTATCTACCGATAGATCTATCTATCTATGGAGCGATTTGTAATACATATTTGTATGCATGTGCCAATATATATAACATCGTCATTTTTGGTTTAGTTATTTTAAAACACAATCTAAGGTATGCAGACAATTTACACATGTCAGCCACTCTAGAGGTTCGGGCTTAAGGCCAATATTTAACTGATAATGCTAAAAAAAAAAACTTAAATCCTTGAAAAGAACACACGAATAAGAAAGGCATATACTAACCTGTCTATCAAACCGCCCTGGACGAAGCAGGGCAGAGTCAAGAATATCAGCACGGTTAGTTGCAGCTATCACAATGATACCCGTGTTGCCTTCGAAACCATCCATTTCAGTCAAGAGCTGATTGAGTGTTTGCTCCCTCTCATCATTCCCACCTCCAATTCCCGCCCCCCTTTGCCTACCAACTGCATCAATCTCATCAACAAACACGATGCAAGGAGCATTTTCCTTTGCTTTCTTGAAGAGGTCACGGACCCTAGAAGCACCCACACCCACAAACATCTCAACAAACTCTGACCCAGAAATAGAAAAAAAAGGCACACCAGCTTCACCTGCAAAATTTTAATTTTCTTGATGAGAGAAGAAGCCATCATACAAGGAGACAAAACATTACCTGGACATAGCAATGAAAAAAAATTTATCATAAGCCAATGGACTACAGAAATGATGGAAGTGATGGACTAGAACCATATGCCAATGTCATCACCATAGAGTGAAATGATGAATTGTAATAAAATAAGACAATGGCGAGAGAGTAAGAGGGAGGGAGAAGAGGAAGGGGGCGCCATAATAAAACATTGCCCCAGTCGTGGATCCCACTCTTTCCATCACTTTGCGTCATTTCATTGGACAATGAAATCCTAATGGAATTTAGTTTTCCATAGTCTATTGGATAATAGTGCACTTTCCAATGCATAAATATTATTAAACTAGGGTAACTTCAAAAATATCATTAAACTATGGTATATGGCACTCCAAGGTTAGAACCGCTGGCTGTTATAACAATGTGTGAGTAAACATACTTATAAGGCCCACTCCAGTTAATCTACACTGATCCAACAGAGGGAATGGACGGTAGATTTCACCACATTGGCATAATTCATTGTGATACACTTCCCCTAACTTCAATAAAACAAAGAAAAAGAAAATTAAGAAAAAGAAATATCGTCACCTGCAATTGCTTTGGCAAGCAAAGTCTTTCCAGTTCCTGGTGGACCAATAAGAAGAACACCCTTAGGAATACGTGCCCCAACTGCAGTGAACCTCTCTGGCTTCTTTAAAAACTCAACAACTTCCATAAAGTCTTGCTTAGCTTCGTCAACCCCAGCAACATCATCAAATGTCACACCAGTGTTGGGTTCCATTTGAAACTTGGCTTTAGATTGGCCAAAGGCAAGGGGAAAGCCAGGACCCCCAGGTCCACCAATTCCCCCAGATGATCTTCTTGAAAGAAGAAACAACCCTCCAATGAGGATGAGAGGGAACGCCAAATTTCCAATAAGGTTGAATAGAAGAGAACCCGAGTCTTCTTGAGCATTATGAGCTGCAAAGTCGATGTTCTTCTCTCTAAACTTTTGAAGGAGTTCTTGGCTGAGACCAGGTAGTTGGACACGTACTCTTTGGATCCGATTGCCTAACTCAGGGGAAATTGCCTCAACTATAGCAATGGTACCATTTTCATAAAGATCAACCTTTTGCACTCTATCCTTATCTAAGTACTCCAAGAACCTTGAATATGACATTCTAGAGGACGATGCACCTTGTTCATCTGCCTCAGCAGGCAGAGCAACCCCAGCACTACCAAGAAGCAATTTTAGAAAATCTCTCCTTCCTTCATGCTTCTTGTGCTTCAAAGAAGCACTTGCATAAATAGTCGTAATAGGATTTACACCCAAGGAAGGGCGGCCTGTGGAAGAAACCCTTTGCTTTCCATAAAGTTCTTTGTCCAAGCTGTGTTTGTTGGTGCAGGAAGATAGGCCTGATGAAATCAGACATGCCGTTGAACTAGCCATTTTCAACAGAACACCACGTAGCTTAGTTACCGTGACCTTTACTGCAATGATTCAAGGAAAGAGAGTGAAATTGAGCAAACGATAAGGGACACGACAGCGTGGTACTTAAATTCTACCAATATTCTTAATCCATCTGAAAGGGGAACTCCCAAACAAACGTGTTTTGTTCAGGGGGATTACATAGTTCAGCCTAAACGAGCACAAAAGGAAGGCTGGAAGGAAAATTCATATAATTGGTCAAAATGAATCCCAAAAATAAAGGAAGAATGACAGCAATATCATAAGTCCACCAATTATTGCATGAAATAGAGATTATAAAACAGGCTTGATTACATAGTCCTTTTACCTTGTGCTTTACCTGATATTCATAGAAGAATTGAGACATTAGAATTAGCGTCGAGGTTATTAATTTACGTGTCCGTTGGCGGGGCATATTTGACCATGAACCATGTAGCGCTAATGAAAGTGACTCTTATCTGTTCCATCTCAGTTTCTTTTGAATTTAGCAGCTGCATTGAGATGCCATCTCGACATCTCTTACTGCTGATGTACATTCTTGTTTTTTTCTAAGAAGTAACTATCACCTTCCCTCAAAAGAAAAGGAAAAAATAAGAGTTCTGGCCAAATAGGCCTCTTTAATATATTGGTTAGCTTATGCACTAGTACATGCATGATGCCACCAAAGACACTTGAGAAAGGAGTTCCTAGATGTTGGGAATCCTTGGAGACAGAAACAACTTCTCCTTGCCGAAGAATACAGCCATTTGGTGAAAATTTATCCCTCATTGAACCAGAGTGAACTAACATCTGGCCAACTCCCCATCTAGTGAAGTTTCTCAAATGGAACAAGTACCTCCAAACACCTAATTCTAGTCCTAAATAATAAAAAAGTTTAGAATTTTTCCGGTATAGACTTACATAATTTTTGGATACTTGAGAGGAAAAAGTCATTATCAATGATTTTCAGAAATCAGGCATATGTTCCAAAAATGTGTTCTTAGGATCAGCATGTCAAATAACTTATACTCAAACTGCATGAATATCAAGTGAGGGTAAACTGATCTTATCTTGAGGAACATTGAATCCTTTCGGGAATTTTTTAAAATATATACAACAACAACGTCAAAAGGATAATAGCTAGCCTATTTTAAATTATATATGACAATATTTTGGGTTAATTCACAGTCGCAATACGGATAGTATTTTACTGATTTTGCTAAATAGGTGTCCAGCTATCTTCTGAGATTTAAAAGCATATAAAATGTATGTGATCAACAAGAAAAGACTCTATACTTTGATACTACACATTTAACTTCCTGCATGGAAAATCTTTAAACTTCCTTGAATTTACAACTGTAGATGCAATATGAACAAACTGATACTTCATGAACAAAAGAATAACCAGTCCTGCTACCATTGTGGTACAAGACTAAAGACACACAATTACTAGCTTCAACAAGCACAAAAAACTTGAAACAAAAAAGAGGATTGAAGGTTCTGATACAAAAACTTAGAAATACACCAAAAGAAACTTCAGAGGACTACCAATGATAACATACAAATGAAACGAACCATCCATTATTGACATAAAAGAGAAACCCATAAAATTACAAAAAATGAGGCAGTGGCACCAAGTTTGAAAACCCACATGCAGCTAAATTTGAAATGCATAGTACATTACACACAATTATTTAAATTGAATTTACAAGATAAAAGTGTATATATATAATGTGGAGAATCTAACGAAATTGAAGAGCAAGTATGCGTGCATAGATGAATTAAGCTACTCTGACTATCCAATAACAAATCTTTTTTTTAATAATGGATAATGTTAAGCTTGTTTTAAGTCACACTTGAATGAATCAGCAACTTTTGCAAATAATAGGAAAGCAACAGAACTTAAAAGAAACAACAACTTTCTTTTTTTTGTCTTTTTTGAATGCGGAAATGGAAATAACTACTTTTCTAAATGGACATATGATAATATCTTGATCGCGACATTGTTGAATATAAACGGCTCCCATTCTGCTTGCAAATCAAAGGGAAAACAAAAGTAGGTGAAGTGTATGAAGATGAGACACATAAACCCAACTATTGAAGTTCCAGGCATCAAATGCCTCAAAGCAGAGGGCTGATTCTTCCACCAAGCTTCCACTGAAAACCGGGCTACAAAAAGAATTAAAAAATGATTCTACCTCTAATTCATAACCTCAGAGATTACTCTTCCACCAAATCAATGATTTATGAGAGCAGTGACGGAAAAAATTGTTTTCATGGGTGAAACCAAATGGCAGCTATGAGTAGTGTATTCAATGGCTAGCTTCATTATTCTCGATGACCCAACAATTTACACTGTTTTCGCTCCAAACTGGAAAGGCCATGAAGCTTAATGCGAGGAGAGAGAGAGAGATTTCCCAATACCATAAAATCCATAAACCTCAGCAGAAATTCGCAAATACAAAACTACAGGATAGTACCATCGACAATAAGAAGAAGATTATTAGTACGTGAAGAGAGAGAAAAATAGAGATATAGAGAGAGGCAGAGTATATACCACGAGATGCAATATCAGTGTAAATTACTGAGCAATGAACAAACCCATATCAACAAAAACAAACTTACGGAAAAGAAAGAGAACATGAATCTCATTCGAATTTTACCGGTAAATGGAGAAATTGGGTTCCCAGAACCAGAGGTAATATGAATGATATCCTAACGGCTACTTGTTTCTCCCTCCATCGAGAACTGAGGATGAGAGAGAGGGAGAGGGTTTCTACTATTTATTCCACTTTCTGGAGGTTGACAGAGAGAGAAGAAGCAGGTTAAGTCCAGGCCACGTCTCTCTTTAACTCTTTGAGGTGTGCGTTGAAGTAAGCTTGCCCTGCTATTGTATTGTGAAATACCACGTGGCCTCACAGATCCCACACACAAGGATAGATTTTTTCTCATTTTTCGATCTTATTATGCATTTGCGTCTAGAGAGAGAAAGATCATTTTTTGGATGCGTTTTATATATATACAGAGAGAGGGAGACCATGAGATTTTTGGGGTTCGACAAGCAAAATTAGGGGTGGCAACGGGTCAGGCCGGGTTGGGTTTGGTTTCTTGGATCCAAATAATTTATTATGGGATCCGGACTCGAAATATAATGTGGGACCTAGACCTGGACCTAGACCCTACCCAAAAATTAAAATATCTATGTATTTTAATATATTTTCATAAAGCGGACGTGAATGGCGTTCAGGTCTAAGATTTTAACTCGAACTTGACCCGTCGAGTCCAATTTTTTGACCCATACCCAAATCCAGGCCGTGTCTAGTCATCAGGTCCCCGGATCCATTGCCGCCCCAACAAGCAATCTCGTTTATTCGTTTATATCCATCCCTTTTTATCAAAAATCAAATATTCAAAATATTTTTTAATATTTGTAATTTATGAAAAACTAAAGGTTGTTCGGTTTATATGGCTTTTAAAAGCGTTATGGGTGCTTGTAAAATGAAATAATATAGTGAAACATGAACTCAGTTGGAGTGTGGTACCTCGTGAACCATACTAAACAAACGATAGTTTGCTGACACCAAACTGTGCTTAACGATCTAGGGCAGTCAATTGAAAAAAACACATGTTACTCATACATGAAGAACAAACCGATGAGGGTTTATGGGTTAACTCTTGATGAGGTCGGAGAACACGCCGGGATGAGTTAAGCGATTGACTGTGTGACCCTTGTGTGTGATGGTGGCCTACAGAGATGAGACTCAAAGCCTCATCCATGTGTCATCACACGGCATGCATATTGATAGATCGTTCGGGAATGCCAGATATCCACCTTTGGGTGAAGCGTATGCATGTACGAGAGATATCCCCATGCGCCATAGAGCTGTGGTCGCATCAGGTCGTGGTGACCTTGACTAATCTCTAAGGGAGGACCTATATCCACAGACTGGGATTGCGACCATTTGATTCATCGACCTGACTTTGGTGACCCGCTAATGAGCCCCTGCTTGGACTGGGTCATGTGAAACACTGGGTCGGTTTGATAAAGCTAGTATGGTCTGTAGTCCACAGTTGAAGGTGAAGTACCCCATTATTACATATTGGATTCCTAAAACCATATGGATCATTTTTCAAGCATATTAATTTAATTGTGTTCATTTTATTATTGAAATGATTTTAGTTTTATTATTTGAATTTTTATGAATATCTCAATATTTGATTTGAGATTTTTGGACTTATAAAAATACAGTTATTGTTATTACAAAGTTATAAAAATTCAAATGTATATTTTAAATTGTTTTGTTCAATTTAAAAAATAATATTTTTTTAATAATATTCCATGGGGGAATATAGTGTATATGGGCCCACCATGTGGCATGTGGGTGGGGGCCCACATGTGCCACAAAAGGGTGACACGCCCCACCCTCTTTGGATTCTCTTGTTTGTTTTTAAGATAATGTTAGTTTGATTTGTGGCATGTGGTCAAATCTTGAAAGGAATATATTGACCATGGTTTTATCTATTTTGTAGCAAGTTTGTTTTAAAGAGATATGGTCAATTTGAATTAATGTGGATCTTATTTTATTTATATTTTGTAGTATTTATCTACTTGATATTATTTGACATATCCTTATGGAATATGTGATATGGATCATATAATTTTATAGAATGCATGATATTTATTTTATTTAAATATATTGGTGGGAAAATTGTCTAGGAAAGGGAGATAATGGTTAATGCATATTCCATAATGTTGATAGATTGGCTAGGATCTCTCACCCCACAATACGAGGCAAGCCAAACAAAACCCCAATAAACCCTAACCTTATTCAAAGCCTATAAAAATGATTATCTCTACTAAAAAATCTCTACACCTTATCTTTCTACCACTTTCTTTTAAGAAAGTTTGATCTCTCTCTCACATTGTGAATGAACCTAATGGTCTAAGTTATGGAGTTCTTCTACCAAAAAATATCTACACCTTATCTTTCTATATATCTCTCTTAATAAAGTTTGATCTCTCTCTTACACATTGTGAATGAACCTAAGGATTTGAGTTATTGAGTTATTCTCTCTTATCTCTAAAATATGGATTTACGGCTAAGTGTTTTAAGGTTTAGCAAAAGGAGAATCCTTCTCTCTCAAACTAGGTTGCTAAAAGAATTCACCTAGGGTTTGAGTTTGCGATCAAAGGGGTTCATGTTCCATTGGTGTGGCTTGGCCGAAATTTGCTTTTCCGGTTCGAGATTGAAGCTAAACCGTTGATCCTGCGCCATCGAATGGTGGTGACTCGATATAGGGTGTAATAAGCCTTGTTGAGGTAATTTCCGGCAGTCTTCCTTTTTGTTTATTAAAATCTTATATTTTATTCTACAGTACAGTGTATAGTTGTTTCAATGGCATCAAGTTGATAAGATCTTGATTTTATTGTTATGTTGATTTTATTTTGAAATTTATTTTATTATAATAAAGACCACCTGTAGGTGATATTTTAAAAAAAAAAAAAAAATGTATTCCTTGATAAAAGATCATATAAGTATTTCTTTCAAAAGTGGCTAGAGCTCAATGGAAATTCTTGTAGGTAACCCAAAGTAGTTGGTAAAAAGCTACGGTGATGATGATAATTTATAAAAGACAAAATGTTTTATTTTTTTAATTAATTTTTAAATTTTAATATTACTTTTATACATGTTTAACCTCTATCATTCTATTATGGGTGTGGTTTATATAAGATGTCCATCTTAAACAATTAAAATGAGGTGCACTTCTAAATATTGGTAAAAAATGTAATTTTGGTGACGAAAATCCTTATGATGGCCTAATGATCTATATTTCAAATCAAATATAAAATTTAAAGCTGGAAAATTGATGTAGATAGTGCAGATCTATAAACACTAAAAAGTTTTTAAAATGGAGAGTATAGATGATGTGTTACACGATGTACTTTTTTCTAGGACTTGAAATCCTTTTCTTTCTTTTTGTTCTTCTCATGCCCAAACATCTCTATATCGAGATGATCAATGGTAAGTTTTTGGATAATGGAATAACCTTCTAGAGTCAATTTTGTAATTGCACTTTATTTGTATGGTATAAGGTTCACACTTTATATAAACTTTTTCTTTATATTATACTTATTTTTACTTTATAAATCTTCAATATTGTTATATAAAGAGTACTTTTATGTTTTAATTATTCTTATTTTCTCTTATTTACTATAATTTCTTGTAATTTATAAACCATCTCTCTTAGCATATTTTATTCTCAGTTTGCGATCTCTTTCAATATATCTCTAACTGCAATACAATTCAAATGTTTTGTGGTATTTACCATAATTTCAAAACTTATAATAGGATATATGCCAAGAATAGCTCAAACGTTCAATTATTTTTTGTTACGTGGGTTTGTTAAAAGAAAAATGAATAGCAAATAAATCATAAATAAGGAGATTAAGTATTATAATAACGAATAAATATTTTAATAAAGTTTCACTAAACTAGTGCAGCATATTCGCCATTATTTATTTTTAACTGCTTTAGATTTAAAAAATAAATATTTAAATACATGTCATATTTATCTCAGTAAGTTGTTTTGATGGATTCTTGCTATTTTAACTTTACTAATTATGATGGAGCCTATTTAGCATAGAAAACTCTTTTCCTTAAATTTATCTCAAGTTTTGCGTATTTGTTTTAGAAATCTCTATATTTACTCTCTTTATTGATATTTTTATTAAAGAAATGGATTTTGGCAATAAATAAAATAGATTTTTAGGAGGGATATATAACTTTTCTTTACAAAAAATTAAAAAGTAAGGCTTTCAGAGAAAATAAAGTTTTTAAGAAAATGAGAAGTATATAATGCGACTATTTACCTTCAATACCAAATTATAACAATTAATCTTGACCATTGGATGTGAAATTTTGTTGAACTTTGCGACACACCGAAGCTATCAGATTTCACATTGGACAGTTATAAGTAAAAGCAATGATCCAATGCAACAGTTGTATCATAGTATAATATAATGACACATATAGAAAACCATATTTGTGGTATTTGTATGATCCCAAAATTTGTACACACACTCTCTTCATCTCAATAATCAATCCGCCAAAAAACAAGTTCAATTTGAACCTTAGATATGGTCAAAATGAGTTCCCTCCAAAAATGAATCTAGACCATTCATTTTATGAATTTCAAGATCTTATCCTTTATAAATTCAAAATCATTTTTTTTTTTTAACATTGTCCATCTAACGATAATAAAGCCATCTAAAAAAATTGGAAATGAAAAAATCCTTCTAAGGCTTAGATCTAAGCATCTCACCAAAATGAATGGCCTATGTTAATTGGGCTAAAAAAATACTTTCTAGGTATTGTTTTTAACTTTTTATTTTTTTGTGATTGTTCATAAGAATGAAAATAGTATATATTTCAAAATTTGGATCAAACAAATGACCATAAGATGATTTTTTAAAGTTGTTGCATCATATTACTGTATAACGGTTGCATGAAATCATTGCCTCTTTACAACGGTTGCATAAAATCATACAATTGGGACCTTTTTATATCAATGGTAAAATGTCTCAATGTATACAATCCTCCAAAAAAAAAAAAAAATCCTAATAAATGTTTTAACCAAATAGATTTTAGAGTAAGTGGAGGGGGGAAAGAATCGCAATGAGGAATTCAAATTCACACGCATCTAGGAGAGTTGAATTTGATACATGAAACTACGATATAATCAAGGGGAGAAAGAAGAACACCTGAAATGTCACATCCTCGTTTCTTTCTTTATCAAGAGAAGTTATGTGTTCCATCATGATATTATCCTAAATCACTTGAAATCAAACCCGAATTTGTAGGGTGGATC